CCCTTCAAGTGATCATTCTTTTTTTCCGACCCACCATCACAAGAGACAGGACGATGGGAAACGAAACATTTTCTTGGGATGGCCTAAGCTAATAAAAAGCACTTACAGACCATTTCTCAACCTAAATTTCACTAGCCGATTCACTTTGTAAACTCACTTGATAGAACAAGTCAAAGACAAGCTCATATTCAAAACATCTTTCCATCAGACCTGCACCGATGTGTCGTTGCTCTAAATTTCATTTTCAAATACGGAAACTTCCCTCTTCCTTTCAGGGGCCAAAGCAGTATACGGTGGAAGAGTTCCGAGCTTTGAAGAAAAAGATGCAGGCTCAGGGAAAATGTGCTCTGCGATCTTGGGACTAATGAAGATTGACTGGAGGCCTAAAGACTCGCTAGACATGCTCTTCTGTTCGTTAAAAAGATGAATAAAGGGGACGAAATCGACGTTTCAGGGTAATTAAGCAGACGGGGTGTGAGATTGCCCTGTCCACAAGATTTACAAATGGTCAATTGTTCCAAAAAATTCCAAATCGACCGCCGGTCGGAAGAAAGTGAGATAAAAACATAAGCGTCAACATCAACGTCACTGAAATAGCGGTCATCGTGCAATGGGATCACCATCATCACTATTAAGAACGAAAAAAGTTGTTAAACAGTTTGCGTTCTCTTGAGCAAAAGACACACTTTGTCTCTCCACTGTACTAGACAGAAGATGAGAGTCTTTTCTTCCTATATATGGATTGATAAGCCCAGGTTAGACTGGGGTTCTCTGTCAAAATGGATGGTAGTACCTTAAAGTACTGTTTACGTTTCCATTTTAATGAGTGACTGAAGTACCATCAGAAACATGTCCTACTGAATGTTGGCTAGTGGCGTTTAGAGGAAGGACCTTCCAGCTTTCTTTTTGAGTCTCTCCTTCTTTAATTTCTGACGGCATTTGAGAAACATCAGCTAGCGACAGCTTTAAAGTCGTATTGAAGCTCTGATTTTTCCATGGACTTTCTTAAAAACGGTTGATAGGTAGTCTTTAAAGGATAGCTCATTGTCCATCTAACATCAATAACCTTGAGAAAGTCGTATATTTCGATAGCCGAGTTGCGACCGGTTACCCATAAACACTACATAGGTTTTGAGCAAAAAAGTTGATTACATCTTAATGCACAGAAATACACAATGTCATTATCAGGATATACAGAAATAAAGAAAAACTGTGTGGTAACATATAAGTCTTGGCATCCATTTCCTGATCTCGTGCCAATTGGTCTCACGCTGAGAATCAAACAATAGCGATAACATGTAGAAAATTTAAGGGCGTAGGGTGGGCAATAGGCACTTAATACGAGTGTCAATGTATATTTAGCACGAAAGTACTAATTGATAAGAATACTATTTTCACACCTTATAATGGAGAAGGCATGTCCATTTTACGCGGTCATTTGAGATACGTAAAGGTGTGGAACTGAAGCACTCGACTGAGCTTTAATCCGTGCTGCCGTTAAGGGAGAAAGGAACCTTCTTGTCTCTCTCTCTCTGCTTGTCATTTCTCCCGGCCCGCTTTCTTTGCCCTTCCCTCAGTTTCACGCATTAAATTTATGTAAAACTATTATCTTGAATATATCCCTTTGACTAATAGCCTCGTTTTCCTGACAGTAGTCCAACCTAGAATGGCCTTCCAGTTAAAAAAAGAAAAACTCGCTCAATTTTATAACAAGAATCACACTCGACACACTCCTTGAACCTGACTTAAGGTTAGCAAAACTTAGGATTATTAAATTCGAACATTTTCGTTCCCCATTTATTTTACTCCGTTCTTGTATCATGTCTTCATCAAACTCGTCAAAGGAAAAAATCCCATCACCATTCAGGTCAAGGCTGTTGAAGTGTGCTACCACTGAACGTTTGGCTTCAAGGCGTCCTGTTAAAAAAGGATTTTTAGCAACGAAAATAGAGACCTCTCAGTGGCGGATCTAGGGGAGGGGCCCGGGACCCGGGACCCGCCCCCTCCTCCCTTATTTTTAAACCAAACTGAGGCCCGAATGGCCGAAAACATTTTTTGGAGACCGGCCCCCCCTGGATCCGGCACTGCCTCTGAAGTCTTTTAAAAGAGACCTTTAGATTCCAGGACGAGTGCGACTACGAGTACGAGATTTTCTCAATACTAAGTAGTACGAGCGTGAACCAGCGTCATTTTGGCGGGAAAACGTGGTAACCGTCGTCATTCTACTACGAGTTTTCCCGCGAATGTCGTGGTGGCGAAAACAAGATATCAAATGTTAGAAGTTTTATTATTTTGCGATCGGGAGAGCGCGTATAACCTCCTTCACTAAAGATAACAATGCTAACTTTTCTAGTGAAAAATGGTAAAATAAAGCTTTCCGGGAAGTCTATATTTTGAGAATACGCGAAAAAACTTTGAGTCAAATCTCGAACTCGTAGTCGTCCTCGTCCTCGAATCTAAAGGTCTCCAATAGATCTTAAGACGAGTACGACTACGAGTACGAGATTTTCTCAAAACCGAGAGCTCGCGCGTGAACAAGCTAGCGTCATTTTGGCGGGAAAACGCTATAGCCTTCGACATTCTACTACAAGTTTTAGCGAGAATGTTGTAGTGACGGAAATAGGTCAGTATCAAATTTTGGAAGGTTTACCAGTCAGTGCGATCGGTAAAGGGCTTAACCTTCTCCAATAAAGAAAACATACAGTGATCACAGCTGGAATTGACTAAATAGAAAGCTATGCAAACAGGTCGTTGAATTGGTTCGTTATAAACCCGTGAAAGGATGATGATGAAGTTATGAATATATGAAAATCATATATTAGGCTGATTTGGCAACAGAACGGGAACATCAGTTGACGACGACGCGCGCAAATCAAACAGCTGGTTTGACCAATGGCTGAACGGCAAATTGGGCAGCGGAAGTCGAGTTTAGTCCTTTCCTCGTTTTTTCATGTGCAAGAAAATGATGTAGGTGGAAAACTAAACAATATGAATGCAGCACGTTATTGTTTACTCCTTTTAGCTTTTTTGTTTCGCAAAATCACGCATACGATGCGCATATTTCACAGTGAACGTTAATAAAATGACTTTGCTTTATTCTGCCGGATTTTTTTTTCTTCACAAGTGAAACGACAGAAAGAAAATTAAAATTGTCCATTTATATCAGCGCATGCGAGATCTGGATATTATGTCGTAAATAAAGTCACTGCGAAGTTGAAAGATTTCAGCTCTTATATCAACCAAAATGTCGGTTAAGTAAGTTCACTTTCTGTGATAGCTAAAGAGGAAAGCAAAAGCGCTTGATACGTGTTGTCTACTACGTTGCCAACACGTTCCCAAGATTATTTCAGCAGTTCGTATCCTAACACGGTAAAATTCTCTCTAAAGAGGAAAGCAAATTGCGCCCGATGCGTGTTGGCTGCTACGTTGCCAACACGTTGTTCCCGAGATTATTTCAGCAGCTCGTATCCTAATACGATAAAATTCGACAAAAATGTACTTCGTTGGAGAAAATCAAATTCAATCTTCGAGCCGTCCGCTAGTAAACTTGTCGCCTTTCCCAGATTGCCTCTCCGTTCATCTCAAGACAGCATTGAATCTTTTGCATCCACAAAAGGAGGCGCCTTATGGATAGGCAGGGGCACCCAACGACCGTTTTCTGGGAAATATCTGTTCGGAGCCCTCTAGAATGGCTAAAATTTTCGAGAGCCCAAGAACAGCTAAAAATTTCGAAAATGTTTCGTGGTGACTGGTTGTTGGGCTCAGAGTTTCCGGATTTGTGTGGTTTGTTCACCTAAGAATTTCGAATTTTGTAGAAATCTCCAGATTCTGATTTCGGCACCTAGAAATTTCGTAGCTTTCGTAAACTAAGAATAGCAAAAAACCCGGCTAATCAGTCAGTGCCATGCCGTATTTCAGATTTTTCAGTAAGTGCCGTGCGAATTGAGTTCGGCAGGGTACAAGACGTTTGAAACTGGCATTAAAATCACTTAAATGCCTTTTCTATTGTTCTTATTTTTGTTCTTCCTATTTTTTTGTTATAATTATTCTTATTATTACACCTAGAATTTTCTATACATTCTACGTCGCCCTAGAAAATTCGAAGACATTCCCACAAGAGATAGAGTTTTCGGAAAAAAATTGAAAGGACCCCTAAAAATTTCGTCTAAGGGAAAAGCTCGTCAGGTAATCTTACGTTTTCGGAAAGCTTTCACTGTAGGCTGTTATTTTCGGGAAAGGCGAAAAACAGCCCTAAAAAATTCGAGAGGTTCAAACCACTCCTAGGACGACCGAACAGATGAAATTTTTTTAGCGATGCGAATTATTGATTTATATTGCTTTTAAAGCACTCCAGGATGCATAACGAGCCATTTCAGATCATTTCCCAGAAAACAGTCGTTGGGTGCCCCTGGATAGGCAACGTATTGATCGGGTTGTCTAGGAGCGCTAAAAAGAGACACCAGTCATTGACCTTCTCGATTTCTGCGTTATTCATTGCAAGATTAGCCTCCACGCAGACATTTTTAGGGGAGCTCGTTTTTCATCCCTCCCCTCCTTGTGGGGAGGGATGAAAAACGCGCCCCCCTAAAACCGACTGCGTGGAAGGCTATTTCGAGATCTGACCGGCAGTTCGAATGAGTCAGATGTTGCACTGAATCCGCTTTATAATTCGCGGCAATAGTGAATACTGATGGATTTTAAAAATCTTAGATATGAGTTAAATCACCTCAGTTTTTGCTGCATCTCGTTGTTTTGCTACTTTCCAATAGCCACTTCCTAACAACCTACGTGCGACTTTTTGAAGAATGGTTTACCAGCTATTATATATTTTAGCCTAAAACGAGGAAGATAGAAGAAGAGTAAGCATTACCCCTTGACTTGAAAATACAGTTAAATTAAAATGGACTTTTTTTAGTATGGAGTCCCTTTTTTAAAGATATTTTCTGAAAGTTAAAAACCTACGCTCGGCTTATGAAAGATGGATCTTTTCTCGAACAGAATCAGCTTTAGTTTTGAAAATCGGTTCAGTGAGAACCACTATCCCTTTCACTTTGAAAACTTTTGGTAGGACGTTGTTCGTAAATGGCGCTACTCGTGCAAGCGAGCTATTGTCTTAGGCCCATGAGTGAATAACAATGGTTGTCAAGACTAATATAATGTCTATTCACGAAAACCAATCAGCTGTAAAATAGTGTGCCTCGAAATTTAAAAGTTTTCTGGGACCAAAGGTCACGAAAACTAGGAACCTGACTTGTTGAATGGAGTAATTATGGAGAATGTAATATGACTCGAAGAAATAATTAGGGTAGAGCGCCTCATCGTTTTTCTGATGACATTGATAAGACCTCTGCAGCCTTTGGCAAATTAGTGCAGGGAAGACCAAACTGATGATTAACAAAGCAAATGGTATCAACATAGACATATCAGAATCAACAGTGAAAAATTGGATGAGGTTAAAAGCTTCAAGTATCTGAGCGCAGTCGTCACAGATCAGGGTTCCAAGCTTGAAGTACTGTCCAGAATCACACAGACAATAGCAGCACTAGTAAGACTGAAGACCATCTGGAATGATAAGTATATTTCTCTAAGATCGGACTAATACGCTCCCTGAATTATCTCAGTACTATTGTACGCCTGCGAAACCTGGACATTGACAGCGGACATCCTGAAGAAATTGCGGGCTACTGAGATGAGATGCTTTAGGAAACTGCTTGGCATCTCATACAGAGACCTCATCACTAACGATGCAGTCAGAGACAGAATCGAGCAAGTCATCGAGCCCTATGATGATATTTTAACCACGGTAAACTGAACGCAAGTTAAAATGCTTTAGGCAATCCATGTATCAAGATCAGCAGGGCTTGCCAAGACCATTTTACAGGGAACAGCGTTAGGAGGGAGGAGAAGGGGCCGACAAAAGAAGCATTAGGAGAACAATATCTCTGAGTGGACAGGGTTGAAGTTTTGCAACGCGCTAAGAGAAGTTGAAGACAAAATCAAATGGAGGAAAAAGAAAATGTGGTGCAAAAAAAGTGCAAACTAAAGTTAAATCAAGGGCAAAGATGGTAAATACTGCATTTGCCCACAAATTTACAACCCGATGTAAACTGGTGTGCAAATGTGGTATTTACCACACCTTTAATTTCCTCCTCGTTTACACTTTTTTGCACCTTATTTGCTCCCAACAAATTTGTGTAAATCTAATTTTTCGTGCAGTGATGAGGGGGCCCGGAACGATGCTAGGAATCCTTACCTACTCTGATTTCTGATTGGCTGAGAGTAAGAATAGAAAAAATATTGGGTAAAAGGGAGAAAAAAAATCTTTAATCAAGCTTTCGGGTTTTACAATGATGTTCTTCTTCTTTGTTTTCGTACTCTCTCTTTCTCCCTGTGGTTTCCTTGATGCTTTTGTGATGATTGTGAGAATCTTCCAAAAGAAACATTGTCAAAGGCGATATCAGCGAACATCTTTCTTTTCGTGTTACTGTGGACGATACGTCCACATGCAGTCTTGGTGTGGCTGTATCACAGAGTGATTTCACAGCAGCGTTTGTCAAACTTAATTTCGACTTTTCCTTGCTTAGAAGTTCATATTGAATGTCACTTATATTTTTGAGCTGCTTTTGAAAAACATTGCGGTCCCGGTCGATGATCGTCCTGAGTGATGTTTTTTGTGATGGTGAAGATCTGTGAAAAAGAGGTATTGATGGACTTGATTAACTTGTTGAGATTAAAGAAAAGAAAGAAGTTACAGTTTATCGTAGTACTGAGAGTTAATTATGTTTCTCAAGATAAGCACAGTGACTCATTCAGATTTTCAAATAATTAGGTTTAATTGGGGGCCTGAAAAAAATCTTTTAAAAAAGGTAAAAGTTGAGAGACAGAGAAGAATCGAAAGAGGAAAAAAAAGAAAAAATGAAGTCTTTTTTCACTGTTATCACTTCGTTTCATAAATCAGGATATTTTCTGATATACAATATATTAGATGATGAAATTGTGCCCTTACTTACTTGACGGGTTTTGGTTTTTGTCTTGATATGGGTTGCGGTTGGGGTGTGGCTCCAATCATTCGGACAAGAAAAGCGCAGACAGCTAAAGCCAGTAACAAAGATAAGTAGAAAGCAGAAGATACGAACAAATGTGCCAGGGTGAAGTGAGATGAAAAACCTGTAGAGGCAACGACGAGATTGTTAATGTAACATGAAGGCAGTTTGGATTATGGAATCTATATTGTGGATTCCGGATTCCTGAGCTGATCACTGGATTCCAAATCCCTGGATTTGGGATTCAACAAGCAAAAACGTCCCGGATTCTGGTTTATGCACGCGTTAAATTGCCAGTACTAAAGAAATGGACGCTGCAGCGTTACGTGATATCAAGTGTGGAAAATCTATTTTTTTTTTCTGATATTCCTTAGGTATCTCCCAAAGGAGAGCTTCGTCGATTATAATTAGAATATCTAAGAGTCCACCAGGTTTGTTTTCCTTCTTTTATTCAGATCTTTTGATAAAAGATGTTATGATTACGGACCGATTAGTGATACTCACGCTTACGTCACTTATCATTACTGTTCCAACTAAAAGCGTACTGGTTGTTGTAACAAAAGATCTTTTTGTTTTACTCGTTATGAATTTGAATAATAAAAACAATGTCTGTAAACAGTGATGTATCCTATTGGGCAACACAAGGGGTCAGTCAACCATGTATCGTAACTATAAGAAAATTTGTAATATTTTTTTTTTAAATAGCCCAGTTTCGAGTTCGCTATGACCGCTGAATTAAGTGAAGAAGCATTTTCTTCAGGCTTAGCCTCCATCTGAAGTAAAGTCACAAATTCCAACGAGAAAAAGACCTGTTTATTACTCTGTCTATTGTTTTATTCAAATTTCAAACACTTACTTGCCGAAATTTCTGAATATTTTACTTTATGTAGAGGATAACCCTGTATGTGTGTCGTTAATGTTTGTATTCAGCGGTAATTTTTAATTCGAAACTGAACTATTGAAGCTTATTGAATCCAGTAAAGATATTCTGAGAGTATTTTGGAAGAAGTGAAAAAACAAACTAACTAACAAAGAAAATCATTCAAGTGCGCGCGCAGATTGGCGCGTATTGTTCAGTTACCTAGGAATGACGCATACTATCCTATTGCATTGTCCTATTAAAAGCGGCAACCAGGGCAGTTGATAGCCAATCATATTTGAAAATGTTTATATGGTTATGATTAAGAAATTCAGCCTCGCGATTGTCGAAGGTTAGTGGTGCCTTTGCCCGTTGAAATTCGCGGTTGCCCACACTCAGAAGTCAGTTGTTTGACGTAATACTGAACGTGGCACAAGTAAATGATTTGAATTATGGATCGTTGACCAAGCTCGAGCTTCATTGTACCGTTAAGCTAATCAGTGTACCCAGGGAATCAGAAGAAAGGAGGAAATACATACCAGCAGAAAAAGATACTTGCGAAAGCTTCTGTCGTAAGTTCTTGAGAGCGGCTGACTGCAGGAGAACTTCAAAGCGCATTGTGAACCCTAATACACAACGAACCGGTTAATGGCTGCAACAAGCTCTATTGCGTCATAATTGACTACCTTGTATTCAAGCAAACGCGCCAGCAACCAACCTTGTTCCCAGGGTTCTCTCTCGAGCCTTAAGAAAGCAAGAGAGAGAATCCTGGGAACGAGAGTGCTCGCGAGCCGATCCACCGTCCACCGATCCACCGGTCCACATGCTTCCGACAAGCCTCCGACACGCCTCCTTCGTCTCTACTCGTGCCCGCGCTTTGCCCGCGCGCAATGTAGGTATACTCGCTGATAAACGCTTACTTTCTTCCAGCAGACAGTTACGTGACGCCCAAACGCGAAACCATAACCCAGAGCGAGCAACTCTCACACTAGGCCTATGTCAAAGCCTTTTCATGGAGTAGTTATATTTAGATAAATTAAAGAATCCATTTTTCCCGCGTTGAATGGAAGCTCCGCTCTGTCTTTTAGCGCACTCCAAATGTGAGATACCAAGAATGAAAAGTAAGCGTCATTAAAAGATCAAAAACCATTTTTAGGGTCATGGTTTGGGTTATAGTGATTACGTTCTAATTCGCTTCGCTCAAACGAACATAAATTATTTACCGCTTAAATAACCGCAAAAACCAGGCGAAGTCAGATATGGGTGGATCGCGTGCGAACCCTAACACTTTAATGAAAAGGAATCTTACAGCATAATGGTAAAGGAAAAACAGATAAGATATTAAAATATGAGCTAAATACCTAAATATTTCGTCACACTTAAACGATTACATTCTGTCTCTAACACGTACATGTCTTTCGCTTCGTCTGTTTTCCAGCGCCCATGAAGTTTTAACAACCTCTCAGAAAACGGCTCATATTGGAAGCGTTATTACTAATAGCAGCTGTAGCATCCCCTGAACGCAGACTATGTAGGCCATATTCCTTGGGGTCAAAGCCCAAATCTTTCAAAGTAGTCTTAAATATTTTGAAATTTCCCTGCAGCGAGTATAGGATAACTTGCCATTCCTAAGAGTATAACCCGACTTGTTCTTCGTTAATGGCCTGAATAAAGGCAAATGACTAGACAGATCCAAATTGGCTGCTTCAATATACCTACGTAAGATAGCTACTGGGCAGTATTTGTTCCCTAACTTAGCGATATAAACATAATTGCCCTCTCTATATACATCCGTTTTACTCCTTGGCACAAAAATTTTAACAAAACCATCGTAAAACGTGAGGTGTTTTGGCTGAATATTAGCCAACTCGTTAAAACGAAACAATCCTGCAAAACCTAAAGAACGTATTGCGGCAATACGTAAGTCCTTTAAAGATGCTTCCTCAGCGCCATGTCTGTCAATAATGCTTCTAATGATAGCAGGGTCCACGGGCTTTTTCTTGTGAACTGGATTGCTCCTTGTCCTCTTGGCGCACTCAATCAAGTTCTTGCAACAAGCGTTATCCAAAGGATTGGGACCATCATCAGAAACAAAGGA